GAAATTAACGAAGTATGAGCCAAGGTTTGAAAAATTATCAGTATGTATACAACAGCAAAAAGCCCATTACTTATGCAAAACTAATCTATTTCCTGTAATAAATAGTTTTTTGTATCGTTGAAAACCTATTTTCTTGTTTTTCCTCTTTAAGTCTTAAGACAAGTGTGTGGGTGTTGTTTTGCTAAGCCAACCCCCCATTTTCAGGTTTAATTGGAGTCCTGGCACTTTGCTATAAGTAGGTGGGTTTTCATTGAATTTTGGGCATGTGGCCCTAAAAAGGTTTGCCACCACTGGTATATGGTCTACCACTGGCATGGGGAAAAAAATTCAATGTCCGCCTGTGTCCTCAAGATTCAGTACTGGTATATCGTCTACCACTGGCATGGGAAAAAAATTCAATGTCCGCCTGTGTCCTCAAGATTCAGTAGTCCAGATAATGAGTAATAATTTGAATTGATTGTCTGGTAATGGTATAGAAAATCAACATGAATTATATTCTTTCAATTGCAAAAAGAATATTGCCAACCCATCTTGGATATTCAAAATTTCTTAGATAATTGAAAGGCCAATATGGTGCCATTCTTTACTCGCTTCAGCTGATTCAAGAGTGAAATAAAAATAATATGATCTATGTTTTGTCCCATCTGAATGAGTATGAATTTCACTAAATCCTTCCCTTTTGCTGGAAAATGAAATGAAATTTTTATTGCCATCTGAACGCATATCAATTTACTATTCTCATTCATTGTGCAGAAAAACCAACAAGCTCTGATGTGAAGAATTCGAGACCTCCCTAAAACAATATTATCAGTGCTGTCGATACTAATGTTATTTATTGAACAATTTTCTGCTCTTTAATGTGTCTGTTGTTCTTAATAGGCTAATTCCCAGCTTCAGTCTTTTTCAGTGCTAGTCTGTAGATATCTGGTATATGATTCAAATGTTCTTCCATCTTGAAAAGCATTTACACCAGTTAGGTACCTGAATTTATCACAGGCCTGGTTTTCCATATTATTTGTAAAGCTTGGATCTTAAGCACAAATATTTGTGAGCTTGAGATCCCTTTCCCCATTAAAAACTTAAGAATAATATATTTTTTTCACAAATCGAGGAAACATTTGCTGTTTTCTATTCTCATATGTTCACAAGATCAAATTTCTGATCAGTTGCATTGTAGATAATACATATAATGATTGGAATATTCAAAATTATTTTGTGTGCCGTATTGCTCACCAAATATATATATATATATATATGGAAATCATGTGACACTATTAGTGAGCATAGTTGGCACTGATTTCTGAAATGTTTTTGAGTGTTTATGTGTTAAATATAAAGTTTTCTCTACTGAGAGTCCATTGCTGATAGAAGTATATAAATTAAAAATTTTTAAATTTATACATCTCTATAAAAGCTTTAAAAAATTATTACATGTACAAGCAGACTGTCTTCCAGAAAAAACTGGTGTTTAACAGGTAAAAGATTCAATTGCTGCAAACCATTTTCCATACTTGAAATTTAGATGCATTCAGATTTCATGCTGTGAACTTTGAAGCCATTCTGCTTTTAGAAATACTGAATTTCACTAATATATCCATTTGAATGCTGTAGGAAATATAAACTTTTGATAAACTGGCTGTGAACTTTCTCTCTGTAGTGGCTGAATGGCAAGCTGTAGAATATTATAATATTATAATTGCATCTTCAGTTCACAGAGCTGGAAAAAGTTTGGCTGCATTTTTTAATTATAAGAAAGTTAATTTTAAGCTAGCAAACTAGCCATTATGGTATTTCACAGCTATTTTGGAAAAAAAGAAGTGATATAATATCAAAATTTGTATGCTTAAGCATTTTGATGGACAAATAATAAATGAAATGAGGAGGAAATTATTCAAGTTTCACTTGCATATGTTTTTAAATTTCGCAAATAAAGGCTCACAAATCGAATTAATGCTATACCGTATTTGACGGCATATAAGACGCAAATTTTTTCCTAAATTTGGTCTCAATAAAAGTTAACTGCGTCTTAATGTGAAGGACACAGGTTAACTTTAAATACTGAATGCTATTTTTAGCCCAGATAAAGGTCTAGACATACCTAACTTTTTCTACATCTGCCATAATTATTTTGAACATGCGTGAAATATTTGTCGCCCAGAAGTGCCAAAGCTCGAAGCTGATGTCGAAGTTTGAACAGGTTCGACGGTCACATTACGTCTTTGGAGCCTTTCCTTCTTTATATAGACTTTCTTTGACTCAGCCAACACACATGTCGGTATCGGTGCTACTCTGAATAAATGTGTCGTTATCAGTGCTTAAAACTGTTTGTTTTAAAAAAAATACTCTGGAAAATATGACTACAGGAAACAAAAGATTAAGCTATACTATTCAGTATAAACTAGGAGTGTTAAACTACGCCAAAATGCATGGAAACAGAGCAGCAGCAAGGGATTTCGGTCCACCACCTACCGAAAAAAAATAGCTTGCCATTTGTTAATTTTCCGTAATAAAAATATGTTTGGTAATTGCATTCAATGATTGTTTATTTGGCTTTTACAAAACGTGAGAACTAAAAGAAGCCACATTTTAAGTTATTGTGGTACAAATTTGTGGAACTGTTTACAAAAAATTGTAAACAGTTCGAATAGCCCGCGCTGTTGCGCGGACTATTCGAACTGTTTCTCCTTGTGTGTGGCCTTCTAAATAAGGGTGTGTCTTATATGCCGTCAAATATGGTACATGCTCTAGCTTAATCTTTGTTACTGTCTCCATTATAGTAACAATGTAATTTTTAAGATTATTTAAGCGTGTGGTCAGAGTAGTCTGAATTTTCATCGAACTCGAAAACAAATTTGCCTGTAACTATAAAAACATTTAATTTTCAATTAAAACATATACAATTTGAAACTTTTTATTTATTTTAAACAAAGATAGTACTGTAGCAATCAACTACTTAAAACAAGTATAAACATTACAGTTCCAACTAAGCTAAGCATAGACCATACCACACAATTTCAAGTCTAAGTCTCGCTGAACTAAATTAGTGAGATGCTGGCAAAAATTCCAAAGTTGATGATTGCTAGTGCTTGCACAGCTTTTAAGGCATAAACATCCTGTCCCCATAAACATCTTGTCCATTAAATAGTCATTGAATGTTTTAACATTCAGTAACTATTTAGTGCAATTTAAAATACAATTTTTAAACTAAGAGCATACAATTGAACTATTCCAGTTTTCAAATGTACACTTTGTTTTGCAATATCTAATTGCAGTATTCCTAATGGTCATATTTGAACATTAATCTTAAGTACATAAATTCAAATTCCTTAATACTGTAGATTATAATACAAATAAAAAAATAATTTACAACAAATTAGTTTTTCTCTTTTTTAAATCTATTTTATAAAGGAAACCTTTTAAAAAAAAAAAAAGAAAGAAAATATTTGATGCAAAATTTTTCTCAGTCAAATCATCGAGCTTGAAGAGTGGAAAGTACCTGAAAGAATGACAGTGCAGGAATTTTCCAAGAATTATGACACACAATAGATAATAATGTAATGGAATTTGCTGAGAACCAAGACTTGTTTCACACAATAGATAATAATGGAATGGAATTTGCTGAGAACCAAGGAATTATAGATGTCGGAATGCAATTAGCAGTTGAGAAAGAAAATCAGAAATCTCACTATGTTTTAAAACTAATCACTCACCGTGTCAATTTTCTTATGACATGGAAGCTGGGTTTGTGAGGACACAGACAATTGCTTCAATTAGATGATGTATCCAATGTAGAAAATTTTCTTCATTCACTGAAACTGTTGGCCATCTTAATCCTCTTGTGCAAGCACATCTTGTTGATATGCAAAATTCTCCAGGCTGTGCTTCATACCTTTCACCGAGCATTCAGAAAGAAATTATCCATGTGATGGCATCCACAGTTCATCAGAACTTAAAAAGAAAAATGTGTGTAAAACAAATATTTCAGTCTCATGTTCAATTCAACCCCTGATCAGGCACGCTGTAAGAAAGTTTAGTTCTTCACATATGGCAAGGTAACTTGTCTTCTTGAATTAACATGATGTTACTTGTCTTGAACTTATGACTCATGTGCTACATCAATAGGCATTTTATAATGAGCACCCTTTTGTTGTAGTAAATATTCCTGCATCAAAAGTTATTCAGCAGATTTTGGGAATACATACCTTTTCAGGATGATATTTCTGCTGCAGCTAACTTACTCAGTAGATCTAGCTAGATCAAGTAGAAATGTCATTCAATACCTGATCTATAAGTTGGTCAGTCTGTACATGTGAAAAACAAAGTTCATTTAGTTATGTTTGTTTTTATAATCATTATAATTTTCTTTAAGAGCATATTGTAATATTTTCTGAATAAATTTATCTTATTATTCACCAAAAGGAAAAAACTGTTTTAAAATGAAAATACCAAAACAACCCAAAATGTCTTAATACACACATTTTGGTTGATTTATTCACAGGAAAAGATTCATAACACTTGTTATAAACTATGCCACACCAATACCAAAAACAGTAAGACTGACTGAACCATGAATTAATGAGGCACTGTTAAAAATTCCAAAGTTGGCAATCACTAATACTTGTAAAGCTTTCAAGGGGTAGATAAATTTTCGTATCATTAAGATGCTGAGCCCTAAAGGGGAAAGTTTGATGATGTAAAGATTTAGTGACCTAAGTTGCAGCATTCCCCCCCTTATTAGATATATGTCAGATTAATATACTATTATGAAAGTGTAATTTTTATCATCTAAAATTGAATAAATCGTGGTGGATAGCCCTATGTTTTGTAACCACTAGATTCTGTGTACCTGAAAGGAAGTTTTCTTAGTATGTTATACAAAATAATATCTAGTAATAAATGACTCATATTAATTATCTGATTTTTAAAATAATTTATCTCTGAAAGAAAATTTTACTACACTTATTCATTTAATTGAAATATCTTGCTTTTTTCATTTATAGGAAACTGATGCAGGAGGGGATTTTCCACGAAGACGACGACCTCGTAAAGAGTAAATATTGAACAAATTCATTTTTGCCATGGGGAAAGTATGCAAGATCAAGTGCCTAGTCAAAAGAAAAGAACAATAAAGCAGTGAAATAGCAACTAGATCTGAAATACTCATATACTTTTTTTTTTTTTTGGTTGTAAAGGCTCCATGGCATGAACATTTATTACTGAAAGATTGAATGATAGAGTCTGTGCATTTGATTTAGATGCTCATATTGACAGTTGCCGTGATGATATATTTAAGGACCTTAAATGCTGAAGTATTTGTGTGAATGTAATCAAAATTTTATTCTCGGACCTTTTTATTTATTTACAAAAATCTCAACTGCAAGTGAAATATGATTTTGAAAGATGGTGTAATTCATGTATTGCTTGTAAACCATTATAATATGTAGAGTTATAAACTCTTACATGCTGCATTGCACCTTCCACTTAAAACACAAAAATAAGTATAATACTATTATATATAGTTTTGTTTTTTGTAATGGCTTTTGCTTAAATATCCAGTGAGTTTTAATAATTGAGTCCTTTTACTTTGATAAAACTCACTTATGCATAAATTGCAGAGTTGCAAAGTGCTTTCCATAGCCGGAATTTTTCAGTGGACATTTTTTTAATAGAATAAGCATTTAAATCTTCCAAAAAAGCATATTTTGAGAAAATCATTAAGTATTTAACTGCTACTCTTTTGTAATAGGAGCTCTTTTTTTGGGGGGGGGTGTCTAAATGTAATGTATTAAAAATGAAATTCAAGTAGGAAAACTCTTTTAATACATTCATATAAAGGGATATATTCATTTAAAAAGAATTTGTATGTTTTTTATTTATACTATAATTAGTTTCTAGAAAAATTAATATTTGTTCTAAAATAATATAATATCATAAAAATACTATTGAAATATTTGATGCCTTTTTTAATAAATGAAAAATATTACATTGTCTTTAATGTTGTAATTTGCCATCTTTTAAGGATGTGATACCTTTAAAACTCCCAATTCTCATTTGTCACGTGAAAAACGCTATTGTACATCCCATGTTTCTGTGCGCCTTTAAATCTGAAAAATAATGTCCTTAAATTAAATTTTAATTCTTAATATATTCGTGTGATTTACATTAACCATTATATATTCACATGGTTTACATTAAATATGTTTTTCATTATATTTATTTTGCCTACATTCTTTCATCTTTAATGTAAACCAGTCTATTAATGGCTTCCTCCCTCTGAAAATAAAGTAAGCATACTTTGTAAACGATAAATTTGCAAATAAGTACGATCAGTACAAATCAAATTTAAATGCATTAATACTATCATATCTATCTTCTATAAATTTGCAAAATTCTATAAAATTGCACTTATTTGTAAATTTATAGAAGATAGATCTGATAGTATTAATGCATTTAAATTTGATTTGTACTGATCGTGTAAATAGGATCAGCCCAAGTATCAAAACATTATATATACTGCATCAACTTTCAAATTGAATAAAATATTAAATTGTTACAAAATATTAAATATGCTTCCTAAGACCATATGTGGTTTTTTGGGGGAAGGGGGGACTTTTATATATGTTTTCCAACATTTTAAAGATAATTATTTATAATACCATTGTACTTTCAATATGAGTGGTTTATAGATTGCTTATTTTGTTTTAACCTAAGTATTTCTATTTTTCTGTTAGCATTTAAATAATCTGTATGCCAAATTTAGAAGAATACTGATGTGTAACCTTTTAAATAGCATCTCAGGAAGTCTGATGTCATCTATAATAAGAAAAATTTAGATATTTATTGCAAAATAGAAATTTTTTATTATCAGTTAAATGTCATATTTGTTAATAGTGGTTGCATGAGGTATATATCTGAAAATGTTTCTTTGGATTTTAAAGATGTTTGAACATTATTTACTTATAATTGTGTTAACATTTGAAAACGATTTACAGTTTGGCTGAATTTACTTCATCCAATATATTTTAAAACATAATTTTCCCCTAATATTAGTTTTTTTAAGTGTGCATGTGAAAAGAAATCCAGCTGTCATATTTGTGATGTCCAAATTCTCAGACACCTAAATCAGTGTTATGAATTTTATAAAAATGTACATAAGGCATGTATCCCTTCAAGGAATTATTTGGTCAAGAGACAGAATAAATTTTGATATTCCTTGCTCAGCTTGTAAAATTCGCGCAAAAGGTTGATTTGTAAACTATGCAAAATTGTAGCTAAGTAGTCAAAAATGAAAGCTTTTTCATAGTGTAATCTTATTCAAGAAGCATTGTATACTTACTGTTTGAAGAGCTGCTAACTTTTGTTCTGTTGTAGTTGAGGTATATCACAATGTTTTCTTATTTATTAGCTTTTACATTCTTAGTTTTATATTACATTAAAGAGCACTTTTTTTGGTTGTTTGATTTGTTAACTTGTGTCATAAATTGATTGTGCTAATTGGCATAACCAACCTTACAATTTAATGAAAATGAGGACTACTTTAAAGTGCTTTCATTTGTTCTAAAAGCAAGGTTACTCTCAATATAATTTTTAGTGATAACTTTTTTGATATATTGACTTTTGGGGGGTATATTGAAAAGTTAATTCAAAACCATCTTTGTTTATGTAAAATTAATTGATTTTATTCAAAATTTAAAATTTGTATTTAAAGAATCAACATTGTTTTCAGCATGAAAACTGTTTTAATAAAATTAACTTCTCTATTTTGAGAACATCTGTAATGGAAATACAAATCTAGGATTAAAATTGAATCCTGAGCAGTCAGGTCTTATGGATTTGCTCATGAAAAGCTATATTTACATAACATTTTTAGATAATTGTTTTTAATAATTTTGTATTTTACTTCACAATATTCATTAGACTATTATCTAGGTCATCAAAGAAAATAAGAAAGCAAGATGTTTTAAAATAGTAATGCAATAAATTTTGTGACCAGATTTAAAGTAGTCAAGCTTCACAGAAAGTTAATGAAATACAGTTGAAGCCTTCTTTCCTAAATACGTGTTATAATTTTCTCTTGCTCTCGGAAAGTGTAATATTTCTTTGAATTATTTTATTCCAAATGGGTAATTACCATTTATTTATATGAAAAAAAAATATTTTAAACATTTCCAGATCTGAAAAGAAGGGGGAGGATGTCATCAAACCATGCCAAATAACACTAAAGGTTTGTCCACTCAGATTAAGTAATATAGCTAAAACATGTAATTTTTTCTCTAAGCTTTAGTTCTTTATAAGCATTTAAAACATACTGTGAAACTGTCTTCAACTTGCATATTCTTTCGTAGCTAAAGTCTTTTTTTTTTTTTTTTTTAATTCATATTATTTTTACATTACACTTACTTGTATTTTCTAAAAATAAGTCTTCAGATTTCTTTCAGTTTTCAATAAAAGTGCTAATATTGTTCTTATGGAAAAATAAAGAGCGATATAAAACAAATTTTTATAGAGTTGGTGATATATGTATTGTGTGTCTGTATGTACTTTCACACATGTACTATGTACGCATTAAAACTGCTTTATAGTGAAATATAATAGTAACAAAAACTTATTGCATCAATAAATTTGTTATATGTTTGTCTGTCTGAAAAGACAAAATATGAAAGTGGATTATATCTCTGTGTTCGCCTCTTAAATAATTGTTTTCCAATTTTTATTTCAGATTATTATTTGAGCATCAAAAAGAAATGAATTTAATACATGATTGCTGTCATGTATTCAATTCATTTCTTTTTGATGCTCAAATAATAATCCGAAATAAAAATTGGAAAACAATTAGTGTCAGCATTGCAGAATTCTTAAAGCATGCTGTGTTTGAAAGATGTTCACTAATACCTTCTTCCCAACCACCTTTTCTAAATCAGTATCCTCAGAATTTCCTTCATCTTCGGACCTGGAGGTTTTATAGTCATTTTTGAAAAAATTTTTTACTGTTCTTAATAAGTGGACATTTTAACCACAAAATTAAATTCTACAATCTGAGAGATATATTTTGAGCTTTGATTTTTTTTTTTTTTTTTTTTTTTTTTGTGCATGTGAATAAACATTGAATTATTTGTTTATACAGTCAAACCTCTATTTTATTAATCCCTCTATTTAGCGAAGTTTTTTGCTGAATTCTCTCCAAGGTGTGAATTTCCTTCCATAAAGAAACTCCAGATAAAGAAATACACCCTGTTTAATGATGTTCGTAAGTGAATGATTTTGAGCGTTTTCTTTCTATTTTAAAATAATTTATTCGTTTGCTGTGACGTACTCTCTGCAAGAAAAAAAAGTACAGTTCTGTATCTCTCATTCTACTGGGCTGATTGACGAAATTCAAATTGCGTTTTCCATGTCTCGAAAGTGCGACTTATGATATACCTGTACATTACATTTATATATAGCATTGCGCTAACATAGGTATTTTGACACAAAATCAGACTTTTTCTGAAATAACATACCAGTTATTTTCTATATTTCGTTTCTATGACTCAAGTTATGCCTAGATATTAAATTTTGTAATTTTTGGTGAAAAATTTTAATTTTTATCCTGGCGCATTTTTTTTCAGCATGAGCCAAGAATAATTCACTTGGTGAACTTCTTAATTTATAGCAACCTATTTTCCTTTCCTTTTATTTTTCATCGTCCACGAGCTGAAAAAAGTCATCATTTATACTTTCAAATAATTTTAACAAAGTTCATAAACCACGTTTTCGTTATTATCGCTTATAATAAATATGCCAAATTTCAAAATGTAAATTCACATATATCTTAGGAAATTTTGAATAAAAAACTAATTTTTTGCAAGTATGCTTAAAAATACATCTACTTTACAATAATGGCAAAAATTTTATACATTATAATTCAAAATTTTTTCGAAAAATTTATAAAAATTATTTTAAAATACAAATTTTAAAAATAAATTGTAAAAAATGGGCGAATTTTATTTGGAATGAACCTAAATTTTGAAATATGAAAAGAAGAATAAAATAAGTTTAACAAAAAAGATATTAATAAATATAAATCAAATTCAATTAACACTGAGGAGCTAAATTTCGAGAGCTAATTTTTTTAGTAACTACTGTAACTACTCGTGAGAATTTTACAAAACTTGGCAAAGTGGCATAATTGGAGTCGCAGAATCAAAATATGTAAAAAATTGGCATGTCATTTCAGAAAAAGTTTGTCATTTGAATTTGTCAGAAATTTTTTGTCAAAATACCTATATTAGAACAATGCTATGCATGCGCTTTCGAGACATGAAAAACGAAAGTTGAATTTCGTCAATCAGCCCAGTAGAAGTGAAGCATAGAACTGCCCCTCCGTTTTTGGGGAAGTGGGCTCAGTGTACATGTATGCAGCTGTGATACTGAAGAAAATCGGGTAGCTCAATTATCTGTTGTCAGATTTTGTTCTACATGAGCATTGGAAGTGGAGAGAGGGAGATTCTTGAATCAGAAAGCATTTGCTCACCCTGTTGTTAAAATTTCCTCAACCAATTCTGTTTTGCAAACCTGTTTAAGGTTAAGCAATAGCTGCATGTTGTTTTCATTTCCTGCTTTTCATGATTTTATATTACAAATCCTTTTTAAAGTTAGTTGTATGTTGAGAGGTGAAAGTGTCTAACACTTAAAAAATGTTGATTAATGATGGAGTGGATGTAAAAAGAAATCCATTGCCATAAAATTGGTAATTTTGAAAAACAGTTTATCGACAGTTCTGAAAAATTTCATGAAGTTTTCATTCCTCTGATGTAAGTGCTAGACATAAGAAAACTATCTTCCTGAAGATATTGATGAAGCAGCATTAAAATTGCTACACGAAAATGAGTAAAAATATACCGATAATCAGGACCATTGATATTGAAAAACGTTATGGAGTTTGTCAAAGCTTTAAGACAAAGTGAATTCTTCATGAGCAATGGATGGCTGGAAGAATTAAAAAAAAAGCATGGATTAGTTGCAAAAATCCTGTGTGGCAAAAGCAAAGATGTTAGTGAAGATGATTGCATCATATTAAAGGATTAAAAAATCTAAAAGAAACCATATAGATGAACAAGGCAAAAGATATCTTCAGCATCAACGAACCGGCTATTTTATCAATTTACTGTAGAGAACATCAACCAAAAAAAAAAAGTTTTGGAGGCAAGCAATAGCAAAGGCAGTTACTGTACTGTTGTTTGCAAATATGGAAGGAAATTAAAAATTGACTCCTTATCCTTACGTATAGGAAGAAAAGTAATAATCCAGGAGGTTTTAGAGGTAATAAATCAATGAAAGTATATAATGATTTCAACAAGAAGTCATGGATGACCTCGGATATTTTGAAAAAGTGGCAGAAAATTTTAGATAAATATATGGCTGCACAGAAACGAAAAACCGCTCTAGTGATAAACAGTTGCAGTGCTTGCCTTCAGAAATATCAAGGACAAGTATAATACTGTTAAGCTCTGTTTCTTTCTTCCAAATACCACTGCAAAATTGAGCCTATGGATCAGGAGGTGATAAAAAGTGGTTAGACGCATTGCCACAAAAGAATTTTCAAGATGGTTCTAGCAAGAAGTGACCAATTTTATGTGTAATAAGTTTGTGACTGTGCATCTGAACTTGCAGAAGTATGGAATTCATACTGATTAGTACATAATGGAGAGCATAAAAAATAGCAGCCAGAAAGCGATTGATAATGAAGAAATTAAAAATTAATGTACAGAATTTCTGCCAGAAGACATGTTAAATGCGTTTGATACTTTGCGATGCGGTTTGAAGACTATCAGAAGACGTTTTTTCTACATTACAAAGATGGTATTTACAATGATTTGAAATGTTCCTGATAATCAGAACAAATTGATTATTTTTTGAAATGAATTTATGTAATTTTCATACGCAGTGTTGATGGAATGGATATATTAACGTAAGTAGTTTTGCATTTATATTTTCGTTTTACTACTATTTTACATTTGAAATGTAAAAAGAATTCTCAACTGAAATCGTATCCTAACCTTCATTTAACGAAATTTTTCATGGGATCCTGCAACTTTGTTAAATAAAGGTTTTATTGTAATAGTTCCATTTACATTTGGAAATGATTTGATCTAAAGGCTAGCATTTAAAGATTCATATTCGCTTATCTTCTTCGCTTAGTTGATGCTTTGCAATCAAATTATAATAGCCACTGTTGAATCCATTTTATTCCATATATGCTTGCTTTCCCCCTTGAAAATGTCGACCTCTTTTTGTAGTAATCTGCACATGGAAGAACCATCATTTTAGGCCCGAAATATTAGCAGCAGGACTGGTTTGTTTTGTGAAGTTCAATATTTCATATAGCTTTTTAGTGCTTCTGAATGCTCTGTATTACATAAAACAACATCAGGTTTTTGATAAATATTATTAAAGATTACATTGTTTATTACAACAAACCCTAAATTT